TAACTTGTTTATAGATCTATTTACTATATAATTTAAATTTTCTAATATAAAACTTTTCTGTTTTTTACTTATATTAAATCTTTTAAAAATTATATAATCTGATTGGTTAATTATCATAAATAATCACAGAATTAACCAATTAAATAAACTTCTGCCTATGAGATTTTTCGGTAAACCGATTTTTTTCAAAATTAGTATCTTTAAAAATTTTTTTAGCATATGTTAGGTCTGCAGATCTCTACCTACAACCAAAAATTTTATTATGCATAGCTAATTACTACGTAGCTAATCAAGAACGTGAATATAAAATATAGTATATAACGTTTTGCATAGCTATAAATTACTAGCAGTAGAGTAGCAGTTTAGCATCATTACTAAAAAATTTAATTATCTCACAATAATAGTTATGTTCTTATATAAGTGTAACCTGATATTTATGTTCTTTAAAAACATTTTGAAATTTTGCAAACAAGGCATCATTTTCTATCTGATATTTTAAATTATTTTACGTTTTGTGTTATTAACATGTATGCGATATATTTATATATAAAACATCATGCAAGTGACATCAGATACATTTTTTTTTTATAGGCAATTCTAAGGTTGTTATAAGGAGTTATATACGCAACCCATTTTCATCTGGATACCGATTTCAAATTCATGCTAAAACTTATTACACCTTATAACCACGAGAGGCTCGACGACCACGGGCTTTTTCAAATTTTCTACCCTTAGATCGAACATAAGGTCTTATTGTAATAGAAAATAAAGTATTAGAAACTTATTATGATTAATATTGTAATATGATAAGATAACATACTTGGCTTTCTTATGAGGACCCATGCCAAAGTGTTTAACAGCCTCTCGAGCATTCTTAGGGCCTCTAAGTAAAACTGTATTTGAACCGGTAGGGGCACGCAACGCCAATTGGTCTAAGGTAATAACTTCACCACCAGCCTTTAAAATCCTAGCTTTGAGTGTCTTCGTGACGCGAAGCGCCGCAACTGTAATTTTAGGGATGTCCAACACCCGATTATCATCTGTAACAGTACCAACGACCACAGCAACCTTATCAGTCTTATCCTTCAGATTGCACAAAAGACGGGAGATAGAGATTGGAGGTTTGTTAACACGTGACATGTAAAGTCGCTTTAAAACGACCTTATTGAATTTTGAATCGGTTCTTCGTGCTAAGAAACGGTAAAGCTAGTCAGATGAATTTTCAAAAAAAAAAAAAAAAAAAAAAAAAAAAAAAAATTAATTTAAAAGTATACACAATATTTACTACAAAACAAAATATTTGAATTTTATACCTTCACCAACAATCGAAGGTAGACATTTTCGCTCTTTGGTTCAGTACGATTTTTGTTTCTCACGTGGTGTTTCTTGATGTCAATACCCTGATCGTAGCAATATCATTTATTGTCAGAATACGTAATTAACCATAATGAAATTAATTATTGCACTTAAAAATATAATCCTGCTTCAATAATCGCCTATAAATTCCTAAAATGTAACCTGAAGTCGTTTCAATAATATATAAAGTCTCGGGAAATAAATAGGTCATTATATATGTTGGCGAAAAAGCAAAAAATTTGCATGATTGCTAATCTCTTTGATTAAACGTATCCAATTGAATATTCCTTCATCAATACAATTAAGAGCAATAAAAAAGTTTCAATGAAAGAAATTAAGTTATACTTGGCCGACGGAAGCGTACCATTGTCGATTGCCAATCCCGTGGTGAAATGAAAGGAAGAACTAGTGTTTTTTCGAATTATTCTCTTATGATTTTAGGTCTGTTACACAAGAACGTTTGATCTTTTTCATGTGACGGTCACTGACCGGTAGTTACGTACGATAACTGCAACTGATACTGATACTATTACTATATTCATTTTCAACCATGGACCCATTAAACTTTGGGATGTTCCATCATGAAAATGCTGCTCGACGTAATATCTATCAAGCTGATATAACGCCCAGAAATGAAAGCTCAACAGATCCGATTACGAGAACTAGGTAAGTTTTTATATTATGTTCAGCCTTTCAACGTATTACAGAGATAAATCTTTTAATAATCTAAATCTATGTAATTTTACAGACAACCCATCGTAACGGGTACTTCAGTGGTTGCTCTGAAATATAAGGATGGTGTAATGCTAGCTGCAGATAATTTATGTGCGTTTATAATTGCATTATTACAACTATAATTCTAAGCTTCACTACTAACAACGTTAACCTATTTTGTCTTTATCAGCAAGTTATGGTTCTCTTGCTCGCTTTAAGGATACCGAACGTCTTCATCCTGTTGGTGATTTCACTGTAATTGGTGCATCAGGTGATATGTCTGACTTTCAGTATACGAAACATCTTTTGGATTCTGAGATGTAATAAAATTTTAATTTTAGTTTGCATTGATATTATTATTGATGATTCTAATACGCGATTATAAATTTCACAGGATCAAAGAATATTATATAAATGATGGCCATGTTCTTGGAACACCGCATATTTATGAATATTTAAGTCGTGTTATGTATCATAGACGCACTCAAATAAACCCTTTGTGGAATGCCTATGTCGTTGGTGGATATCACAATGGAGAAGGGTATACATCGTTTTAATACTTCATACTTATTTCTCAACTAAATATAAACTTTTGCTAATTGATTCTTATAATTAAAGATTTCTCGGATATGTTGATCTACTAGGAACAACTTATAAATCTCCCAGTATTGCTACGGGCTTTGGCGGTTATTTCGCTCAGCCTATTCTTCGAAAACTTGTTGAAAATCGTGAAGACCCTATTTCAGAAGAAGAAGCCATCGAT